GAGAGAGAGAGAGGGGAGGTTCTCATAATCGGATTTTACCTGAGCATAACCATTTCCCGTTTCATATTCTTTGACGCCATAGTTGTACGTCAACTCCAAGACCGTATTTTTGTCTTCGGGGCCATAACCCATCATGGCAATAGTGTACTATGGAAATACAACATCTTATTAGTGACCCTAATACCTTAATGCATTTTAAAATAAGAATGTTAAAGAAGAGTAAAGCACAAAATTGGTTTATCCTAGGTTATAATGTCAACAGAATAGGTCAAATGGACAGTAAGAAAAAAAGAAAAGGATTAGAATATTTGGTAGCTACAGAGAGAGATTAGAATACCTTGTACTCGGGATTGTCTCGTTTGCGCAGGAGCTCCATGCCAAAAGCCTGTAGTCATGGTGATATAACTTCAGCAGTTCATTCGCATTGTGTGTAAATTCAGCACTTCTTGGTGAGCATGCGCGTGTGTGAGAGAGAGTTTTGTGTGAAAAAGCAACAGACAAGCGGGATGACACATATGCACTAATGGAAGGAGAAGACATGGTAAAAAAAAGAAATAAAAATGAAAAAAGATAAACTCTACTATGAAGTCAAAGCAAAAGAAAAAATTGCGGCATAACAGAATAATATATGTCTACCAACTTCTCAGTGATATGATTTTTCACCTTCTCATAAAAATTGATAGAACGATCAAGATCTCCCACCCGAAGCATTACTTGGCACAAGGGCTCGGGTGTAGGCCCTCTTTCTAAAAGCTCAAATTTATAGCCATCCGGATCTTCGACGAAAGCAATAACAGTATTGCCACCTTTTACAGGACCAGGTTCCCGAGTAACCTTTCCTCCCTTTGCTTTAATGAGTTCTACCGTTTTGTAAACCTGCATATCGAAAACAATTAACACCAGGACTTTTGCGAACATTCACAACTAAGAAGATAACTAGAAAACACCAATTGTAATATATTATGGTTCAGTAGTCCAAAACTCTAAATCATATCTACCTTCTGTACCAAATGACAGATGATGAAGATTAACTTCAGTCAATGTCCTGGTCAATTTCCAGTCAGTCATTAGGAACAGACATTGCATGCCCACCACATACCATACAGCCATACTCCCTCGGATTATGACATACTTTTCCAAATAATGTTTCCATATTTCCAACAGTTCATAATTAAGCAAGACTGTCCATTTCTCAAAAATGTATTTACTGAAGACCGTGTGAAATATAATAAACCCTCTGAGAGAAATTGAAACTTACATCCTCAACTGCGATACCGAAATGACCAAAACCAGTACCTATATCATATTTATCCACTCCATAGTCTGTAAATCAAGATCACCACACAAGCAATTTGAGAGATTAGACATGCAAACCCCAGCTTCAGAGAAGTATTACATTATTCAATGCAGTATGGTATATACAGTAAAACATAGGATATGATCAAGATCTAATCCTGATGACGGCTGGTGGAGAATAATGGCAGGTTAGGCTACATGAGAATTCTCCAAGGTGGAGTACTGTATACCATATTCCATTGGATTTTGCAACACTTCTTCATACAAAAGAGTTGCAAAACTATATCAAAAAGTACTCAGATGAATATCTTACTATAAGTGAGTTCCACCACAAAATGTGAATCTTCTGGACCATACCCAAGAAAAGCATTTGTATATCTCTCTTCAGGTATGTCACGCTTCCTCAGCAATTTCATCCCCAAGCACTCTGTATAAAATCTGCAATTATATTCACAAAAATGAGCTCAAAAGAAAATCACAAGCATCATCAATCCAAATATAATAGAAAGTATACTACATCCAAATATAATAGAAAGTATACTACAAACCATTCAACTATGGAAAACCACAGGACAACAACATTATCAAAAAGATAAACCATGTTGGAGGCTCATGTTCCTGTTCTCACTCAACCCACCCAACATCACTGTCCACCATTTCATTGGAGTGTGATGACACAATTGACATTAGTTTTCTATAGTCCATGAGCTCATAGCATATTATCCCAAGAAATAACTACAGGGTAGGAGTTTGAATTCAGAAGAGCATACTTAATGGTCTTGTCCAAGTCTCCAACACGATAAACGACATGAAGAAGTCTCCTATTATCCTTTTTAGCCCAGTCCAGGATATATTCCTGGCTCACAGTGGTGCTAGCTTGTGCCATATTGGTAGAAGTCCTTGCCTCTGCAACATTTCCCTCTGCTCTTAATATACTAGATGCCTTTATACCAAACAGGTGCGCCTGCTGAATAGCTGTATCAGACACAAGTTAATGTAATTGCTCTGATAAATAGCAACAAAACAAAGTACATGCTCAGTAAACAAATTTTAATCAAAACCACTGAGAATGCTTTGTTCTCAGTCAGAATAGCATGGATATTGGACAATGGTCACTGATTTATCTGAAATCATAGGACTATAGGAGCAATCAAGCAATGTTTATATTTCAAAAAAAAAAAGGATAAATGGGCGCAGCCGCGCAGGAACACACTTGCATGTGCATGCTGACAAACACACACATGATAATAAGTATTCGATCTTCTTCCACAGCCCTATGAGTTCTGTTATATCTGTTAAAACTTAAAAATACACACAGAAAAAAAGAAAAAAAAAGAAGAAGAAAATGTGCCTAAATTTTGAGAAAGTCTTGCTTTTCATGCGGACTGAAGCTTTCAAATCGGTGCATTTGAATAATGCACCATTCATATCAGAATTCAGTGCACAGAGGATCCTCCTTCTGATGTCACAAGTAAATGGATGAAACGTGAGGACAGGAGGGAGAAGTTTAGCTCAGACATGGGAGAAGTTTAGCTATGAGGAATGAAACAGTTCAGGGATCTTCCAAGAGCAACATGTTCCAGTTTAGAGAACTTTTCTTTGGAGAGAGGCAATAATACAAAAGAAGAATTGGGTATTGTTGGAGATAAGCTAGACTTTGGAAAGAGGCCGATCAGATAGTATAAAGATCTAATCTAATCGGTAAACTGAAAGAAGGGCTACAATCATAGGAAATGGAGGGCCACATGTGAGGAGCGTCATGTGTGTAGGAACTCCAAAGCACGGCATCCTCGATGGACTATAACAAGCAAAGGAGTGATTGAGATGAAAGGTCCAACGGATGAGAGATAGGATTTAATTGCATTATGGACAGAATGAAAATAGAAAATTTTATTTGTCATCATTGTTGTTCACTCCTTTTTTCCTTTTTTTTCTTTTCTTTCTTGGGGTGGTGGAGGTGTGGGAGGTAATTTGGGTTGGAGACCATATAGACTGATGATTTGCAGTTTCATAAGGACAAACAAGTATAGTTGTGGTTAAATAATTGTGGACGACTGTGATTAAACCACTTTGGTGGAGAAGAGCACATGCTTGGCTCACAAAATTATCAGTTGGTTCCACAGGGTTTTTATAGTAAAATATGAAGAGAGATGTTTGTTTTGATGGATTCCATGGACAAACACTGCATACAACTACCAAACTGAAAAAGTTCAAATGGAACGATGAATGAAAGAGCTGGAGCACAGATGGCATGGGAAGAAGACCATAGTGTGAATGCATGTTATTTCAGTATTCAATAAGAACATGTATAGCATGCTCCCGGGGGAGCATACTGCACACCAACTCCCTAGGACAAAAGAGCAACTTGGAAGTAATTTTTTTATCCAAAATTTCAGGATACATCTAAGGACCATCAGATGTTTAGAAGGAAAAAAAAATTGGATTTTAAGTTCTTGAACACCTAGATCTTGCCCTCTGAAGATTGGACTGTTCTTGTTCAATCTTGGGATTTTAAATTTTTGAGGCACATAGTGAGATTTTCTTTTTCCATTTTTTTTTTTTTTTGAGATTGCTGTTAGGTTCTAGGGGCTATATTCCCACAACTTGGGGTCTAAAAAGTATTCCAAACATGAGTCTTATCCGAGGGAATAAATGCATAGTATGCTCTCGGGGGAGCAGTAAATCTTTTCACTTTCAATAATAAATGATTCTCCTTTGATAAACACAGAAAAAGAAGAACTCATGAGATATTTTTTGATTTTGAGAAACTGAATGAGACCAGATGGACTAGTTTAACTTGAGCTAATAACCAACTCGAGCCAGCAATTATCTCAAAGCTGAATGACACGATACGTACTAGTTTAACTCGGGCTGATAACCAACTGAAGCCAGCAATGATGAACTTCCTCAATTCATTGATTGGGGGTGGCAGTTTTCAGAAGTTTTTGATGAGATGTCTACTGAGACAATGCATGGTCATATTTTGGTAGGAAACCTCAGTTGCCCTAGGAGCAATTGAAGTTCTGGAAGAGGGAAGATATAGGGTGAAGTGGTTGATACACATGCACTTTTATACACGTAAACATCCATGCTTTCCATCACAAATACAGAATTCCAAGGACCAATTGTAATTTCTAAAACTGTGAAATCCATTAATATCGCTCACTTTCTGGACCTTAAATCATCAAATCAATTGCACCCATCATGCTATAGTAGATATTAACTTCGAAAGAATTAATGATTGAAGGTTTGTCGGTGTTTCACTTAACCTAATGCAGTTCTATGCATAAAGGAATATCAAGTAGACCTAAAAATCTGGTCCAAAATCCCATTATGCATTGCCACCACGAAGTTCCCACATGTAGTGAGCACCAATTGTATCACAACATGCATCATCATCATTGTCGCCTTTCCCAACTATTTGGGGACGACTAAGAGAATAAATTCCCAGCAGAATACCTAAACCTTATTCCATCCAATATCATATTATTTATGTCATAAAGTACATATTAATTAATCAATATAGAAAAATCACCACAAAAAGGTTCAGAGATATGAAACTCAAAATCTTAAGCAGATGCCAATCCACCTCAAATCACATAAGTTAAATTGTTTTGGTACACATGTAAAAAAGGAATCAAGCATCAAAGCCATGTTCTGCTACTGCTAGATGAAGACAACCAAATTACACAGATTCGACAAAAACTCCAAATATGAGAAGTTCTCATGAGTGCAAACGGCAAAAGATCAAACAATCTCAATATAGCAGATTCTTGCAATGGATTTTTGCATATTTTCAGCAAATTGCAGAAAAATTAGTGGTTTCTGACCTGTAACTTTAAGCGCCAAAAGAAGGCAAAGAAAACTCATCTGATGTTCTATCAATTTAAATAGTATTCTTTGTACTGACACCTCTAATGAGGTTCTCATCTCGGGATTTTTTTTTATATATATCTTTTTGGTATTCTTTCTCTAATTTCATGTTTTCTTTTTCTTTTTCTTTTTTTCCCACAAAGACCAAATCATGAAAAACTGTAATTTCCCCTGATAACTCCAAAAAGAAAAAATAAATAAAAATAAAGGGGTATTTCCAATGAACTCTCTCTTTTCCTCTTCATTGATCCTAGTACTCAATTGACTACTTTGATAGTCGTTTTTGCCCTTATTTTGCTCACATCTCATCGACATTTTTTTCTTTGAATATGCTTAGGTATAAAAGCTAAAAAAGATCCGAGTTTTGCGGGAAAACAGCTCAAAACCGTGTACGCAGTTCCAATAAAATTTCCTTTCAATTACCAACAAAATAGCTGCATCTTTTAATCAACTACTATGAGAAGCAGTTTATGAAAATTTTTTTGGTAGTGTTCTTTCTACTTTTCCCCTAAAATCATGACGCTTGTACAAAATAACCTCCAATTTTGGCCCCAAAAAAAAAAGGAATTTTTTTCTTCCTATGAAACCTCACCTTGTTTTCCTCAGGTCCAGTAGTATCTTTTGCTGTTTCCATACAACAATTTAATGACTTTCTTCAAGAACTTGCAGTGAATTCTAGGGCAGGTTTTATTCCCTCACATATGAAATCACTAAGTTCTTAAGCTCTCAAGAAATTGCCCAGACTTCATTCATCACAAAAGTAACACAATTCTAACAAATCAATGGGTGAATGCTCCAAAGAGTGAGATACAGAGAGAGAGAGGAGAGAGAAAATTACCACTGCCTATATGCAGGAGGGCCGCTCTTCGTGAGGGACCGGACGCCATTAGAGAGGTGTTAAAGCAAGCTTTCACCGAGCTTTTCCATGGCATCTTCCTAAGATAAGAGAGAGAATGGGCTCGGAAAGAAGCCAAGGGCATGGTGGAAGAGGCCATTGCAATCCTCTCCATTACTCTCTCCCACTCTCTCTCTCTCTCTCTCTCTCTCTCTAAGATGCAGCTGGTTTCTCTGCGGGCTGTCTCTCTCCTCTCTTTCTCTCTCTAGGTGGGACTCTTTGTTCGTGCAGCAAACAAAAAGCGGCGTTATCTCTCCCTCTCAAAATATATATAATTTTTTGGAAAATGACCAAAATTCCTTAATCTTTACTCGAAATGACCAAAGGGGGTTCGATATTTTCTCGTTAAATATAAGGAAAAGGAGGTTCTATATGATCAATCATGATTAGCAATACAATGGATCACCGTCCAATCAATTATCGTACGGTAAAACGAGTACTTACGTCAACCCCCTTGAATCACCGTACAACGATTGATCGGAGGGTTATAATTTGTGGATCATATTGTACAGGCGAAATGTATCTTTTATTTTTGGAAAAAGATTATAAAAGTTGCAACCTTAAAATATCGAAATACAGATGCACCTCGAAATTTATCAGAATTTTTTAAAAAAATATTAAAAAACCCTCTAATTGATCATCTCGACATCGATACGTATGAATATGAAAAAAAATCAAAAGATTTTGAATCCTAGAAATAGTGCATCTTGCAATATATTATCTAAACCGTCCATTTTCAAGTTTTCCATATGTCTATAGATCTACTTGATTTTAACTATTTTTTAAGTTTAAAATTTTATAATTAGGTATGAAAATAGTTTTGCAGATAATTCTAAAAAAAAATTACACCAAAATTATAAAATTTGGAGATGCGCCTAAATTAGATTGTTTAAGATTGCAACCTTATAGAAACCACACCTTTTATTTTTATCACTTCCTCATCACTTTTTTCTTTTAGTGAAAAATAGTTTGATAGGACCGCAACACTATTGAAAATTACGATTCTAGTGTTGAAAAAACTTTAAATTGATCATCTCAACTTGAACATTGTGCTTGTGAAAATAAATTAGGATTTCAAATTCGAGAAAGGACACAATTAGCATGTAGCCGGCCCACATATTGTAGAAATGCAGACTTGGCAATAAATATATGTTTTAAATATAATTTGATCCTAATTTTTAAATAATATATAATGTTTAATATGGAGATCATGAATACGAATAAATATATAAAATTAAAAATAAAAAATAATAATTATATTAAAAAAACATTTAGACAGTTAGTTACAATTATTTTTAAATGGGCTACTTATTTGCATCCGTTTTTAAGATGGATACTTTATACCTCTAGACCACATATGGTAGAAATGCGTTTAAGCCGGAATGAAACAATTGTTCTTCTAAAAATAGTGTATATTGAAACAAAGCATCTAGACTATCTATTTTACCCTAAAACTAAATGTTCAAAAATCCGTAAAATATATACTATTTTTTTAGTTTCAGAATTTATTGTTGGTATTAAAAATTAATTTTAAAACAATCATGGAGATTTTCGATGTTAAAAGTACTTTTCGGATTTGAGATGAGGCTTTATTTTGTTTTCGTGGAGCCTAAACCATATAAAAACGTCATCCTTCCAACTTTTTTTTATTCTCTTTTTCTAAGCCCCAATTTTTGTCTCAAACCGAACTTAAAATGTTGGGCTGAACGCTTTGTCAACTTCGGCAGAAAAGAGCAAACCGTTTTCGGTTTTCCGAAATTTCTGTTGAATAAAGATTCCAGGCCGAAATCTCGAACCATGTCCGAAATTTCGATCTATTGGCAGCTTTTGGGCATGAAGAATTTAGACACTGTTTTTTGACCGATCAATGCATTCAATGGAAGGAAAAACGTAAAAGAGGTCGTTGCAAGCCTCCATGGAGATTGCGATTAATGGTGGCTAACTCGATATGTAAGCTTGCATCTTTTGCTAATCAGCAATAAAAGGTCCAACATGTTTATAGGGAGGTTAATATGGTTGCGGATTTTTTGGCCAAAGCAAAGGTTTTTTTTTTTTTTTATGAATGAAGCAACGGTGTGGTGTATCTGTTTGGATTTGTAATGGCTTTCATCCTATCTAATGTTGCTAGTATTCCCTTGCCAAAGGCTGTTTAAGTATTGTTAATGTAATATTCATTTTGATTATTTAATAAAATGGGTAAGGGCCCGATATCCCACCGATTCACCTAAAAAAAACACAAGTGAAAGGGGTGCAATAATTTGTGAGGCTTTAAGTAACTTATATTAATAGGAAAAAAGTTTACATAAAGCCGAGGCTATAAACAATCAAATTCGAGCCTACCTCAAAAATTTCACTGAAGTTATTGTTTTAATGCTCAGATATCTTCAAATTCATCATCTTGATATCAAAGATGCATGGACATGATAAAAAAATGGATTTCAAGTTTTGAAAATAGTGTATTTTGTAATGCACTTTTGGACCGTCAAATTTCAAGATTTTCAAGTTTTCATATATCTCTCGATCTACATTATTTTTGAAGCTTTATAATTTATAAATAACTATGAAAATATATTTTAAGGCAAAAAGATTTCCCGTATTGAAACCATATTTCTCGACACTATTTGAGGCATGCTCTAATTTAATTGTTTAGAGCCTAGGCTCTATAGAAACCTAGTCATATCACCTCTTGAATGTACACAAGCTCATGTCTATTTGCCATATGAAAAGGTATTAGAATAAGTGTTTTGTGTCTATTTATTGGAGTTTTGTTTCTTTCATGTATAGGTTTGGTGTTTTGGAAGGTAGGGGTGGCAACATGCCAGGTCGGGTCTGGGTCTGGGTCCGGGTCTGGCTGGACCTGGACCTATAGCCGGGTTCAGATATCAAGCCCTGAGTCGGGTCCAGGTCTATTGCGACCCCTATGGGAAGGGGATGAGTGGGAAAAGAGAAACCATTCCTCTCTCTCTTCGTTCTCTCTCAAATGCCAAATTTTTGCTCTTCAAACAAAATAGCTAAAAAAAAAAAAAGACTTCTCCCTTGAAGGCATCAGATGCTTCACTTTAGAGATGGTAGGTTCTTTTAACCTTACAAAATTCTTGATAATATTATTGTACTCATAATCAAAAGTTCACCGCGTGGAGGACAAAACTAAGGCAAGAATATGTTCAAACACAAAAAGATATAGAATTATCTTTTGTTATTGTCATTATTATCATCCTCATCATCAAATCATTCAATTGTAGGGCTGTAAATAGGCCGGGTTGACTAGACCTGATCGGCAGAGCCGAGTGGGGTTTGGGTTGGAATTATGTATCATAATCATCATCAAATCGGTGTTACCTTTTTTTATCTCTGGTCCACAATTGGCCTTTATCTAGGGCTACTTGATTACTAATAGCGTGTTTGTAGCCCATGAATGTATTCATCCAAGACTTTTATCGCAGGAGCCGGGAGTGGTGATTAAGTTGGACATAGAAAAAGCATATGATAGATGGCTTGAAATAATGAGTAGAATAGAGTTTGGGGAGAAGTGGGGGAATTTGATTTTTGGTTGCCTCTCTTCTGGTCATTGCTCAATCTTGATCAAGAGTAGCCCAAAGGGTTTTTTAAATCTTCAAGGGGTATACGTTAAGGAGATCCTTTGTCCCTCCTTTTCTTTATTGTTTATGCTGAATGATTGAGCCTTACTCTTAGTAATGTGGTAAATAGAAAGTATTTTTGGGGGTTTCAAACTGGTAGACATGGGTCATTAGTATCTCATTTGCAATATGTAGATGATACACTTATTTTTTGTGAGGATGATTTGATAAAGGTGAACAACTTGGGGGTGTTTTTGTCTGATTGTGAGATGACTATGGGTTTGAAGGTTACTTTGGAGAAGACTTCTATGATTGGGATTAACTGCTCAAAGGAATTTGGTGAAGAATTTAGCAAGCTCTTTGGGATGCACGTTTGACTCGTTTCCATTTACTTATTTGTGCCTCCCCATTCATGATTCTAGTATGTCGGTATTAGTTTGGGATGTTGTTATCCAAAGTATTCAACACAAGCTAGATTTTTATCATTGGGAGGTAGAGTTACTTTTATGAGAGCCTGCTTGGCTAAATTACCGATTTATTAGATGTCTCTCATTCAAATGTCTATTTCGGTTATTAAAAAATTGAGAGAATGATGTATACTTTTTTGGGGGTCAAGTGATGAGATTAGAAAGTTTCATTTGCTTAAGTGGGATAAGGTCTGTATGCCTAAGAGAGAAGGAGGACTGAGGTTGAGAAAGTTGAGATAAGTTAGTTAAGCTCTTTTATACAAGTGGTGCTGGTGTAGTAACCATTCTCAAGATCAATTGTGGTATCAGGTTCTTATTGCAAAATATGGTTTGGATAGAAATAATCTTTGGATTAGAGGTGGTAGGGACTGTTCTGGTAGATCTGGTTTTTGGAGGGCCCCTAAAGCTTTACTATCTTGAAATCTTTGAAAGAATAGAAAATCTGAATGCTAAGATAACTAATTTATTGGAGTACAATGGTGGTAGTATTTATTGGAATTTGAATTTCATTTATAATAGACTGCCAAATTAATACTTTCTTGGTTTCTTTCTTTGTTGGTAGATTTGGATAGGGTCTATGTTCCTCAAAATAGGGAGGATGAATTAGTATGGGAGATTGAGAGTGACGGTATATTCACGGTCAAATCTGCTTATATGTTACTTTTTAATGACTGTGTGCAATGGTCCCTTCCGCAGGTGGCACAAGTGTGAAAATGCCTGCTCCACTCAAAGTAGAAGTTTTCATTTGGTTGGAGGTCCAAACTAAGACTCTTATAATTGACAATCTTATTAAAAGGGGAAGATTTCACCTAACATTTGCTTAATTCGAAAGGAAGATGGGGAATCAGGTGCTCATCTCTTTCTTCATTGCTCGTTTGTCTTGAGAATATAGTATTGGTTTTTCTCTCAGTTGGGGTTTAGTGTTGCTTTACCACAAGAGACCATTGGAATTATTACCCAATTAGCCTTTTTTAATTTGCCCAAAGTTTAAGAATGTGGAAGATTGCGAGAGTAGTCATGTTGTAGGAAATTTGGAAAGAGCGTAACAGAAAGACGTTTGAAAGGAATGTGCTACCTTTTGATAAAATCTTAAATATTATTAAGCATTCGTTTTGTTGTTGGTTGTCCATTACAAAAGAGGGAAGGAGTATTTTGGAGGTTAATGCTTCCATTAATCTCTTCAATCATTTCGATGGAGGTAGTTATATGTTGATTAATAATGCTATGTATTGCTTTCATTCGAGGTAGTTTTAAACTTAATTTTGATGCGAGTTCTTTGGGCAATCTTAGTTTGGAAGGTATTGAAGGGATCTTGAGGGATTGGACTGGATCAGTTGTGTTCTCCTTTGCTGGTCCCATAGGCATAGCGACGACGAATCATGCATAAATCTTAGCTCTTTTCAAGGGTCTTAAGATTTTTATTTCTAAAAACCTGGGGTCTGAATTTATCTTGGAGGGAGATTCTTTGTATGTGATTCGGTAGTGTAAAAAGGAGCAGCGATTCCCTTAGGAACTAGGGTCGGTTTGGCTTCAAATCTTGTGTATGTTTAGACCTCTCACGGTCTCCTTTAACCATCTTTTCAGGGAAGCCAATCAGGTGGCCAACTCACTTGTGAAGATTGACGTTTATTGTTTCTATATATTTTTCTATCAATAAAGCCATGGACATTAGTAAAAAAATAAAAGAAAAAAAAATCATCAACAAATCACTCAACAGTAGGTTTCAAATGGGTTCAAGATGACCAAAAAACAGACACGCCAAGTTGAGTTGGGTTTAGTTTGAAATTATGCATGTCTACATAATTTGATTTTGTGAGTCGACTAGCTTATGCTACATCGTGGGCAAACAGCCTAGATTTAACGTGGCAAAAGATAAGGAATAGATTTAACGTGGCAAAAGATCAGGAATAAAAGACGATTCTTTGATTGTAGGAGCGATATATTGTTTTTTTAAAACAATATTTGTCTGATAAAAATCAATCTACATCTAAGTTATAATCAAACAGGATACATAGGAGTCGAGGATTGGGATAACTATACAAATGCATAAATATTGTAAGATCTAGAGCACCAAAGTTGTTTCTTTTCTAGAGAGAAAAAATATAAAAACACTTAAAAAAATTCGTATGGTATGGTGTATGTGTGTAAAAATGAAAAAAAAAGTCCCTATATTGAGAGATATAAAGTGCTCTTTCTCTTTCATGCCTTTGGTGCGGCACACAACTTGTATTCAATAATCACGCGATAACTCTTTGGTTCCAGAAAGTTTCCAGTCAAATAACCATCGCAATATCTACCGGAAGGGTGCAATCGTCATCGGAAGACACACTGCATGTGCGTCTTTATCGATGGGGCATTATTCACTAGAGCGCACCTAACCACTTGATCCTCAAAGTATCGGAAAGCCCATAGACACCAATCAACCAAAGGCTTAGTAGTTGTGGCAAAAAGATACCAGTCATGAGCGTGCAAAGTACACTATCAAGCATCCTTGTGCCCTCGCCCTCGTACATGGGCATTCCCACACTACGCTTGCTCCGGATAAGCTTTAATCTCTCTTTGATTATTAGAACACAAGTAAAGAGCATATCCATATATGTAAACTAGGTTTCCCTCTTCCACATCTTTAATATTGGATAAATTATCCTACTCTTCCATCTCCACACATACGAAAACACAATTTACAAGGCCTTACACCTTCTAAATCACTATAGAACAAGAGATTTATTATTTTGAAATAACATAAGGTATTTTTTTAAAGCAACAAACACAATATTTTATAATTTGGAGAGCCACGTTTATTCATAGGTTTGGAGGCATTTCTCATCATCACTATTGTTAGAACCTTTTTCTAACTAATTGAGTTGTGCTACACGAATCATAGTCCGTTATTTTGCTCGATAATGTATATTCTGGTTCATGAAAAGTTTTGACAAAATTTCACATTGGCTGTCTATCTATAACAATCCACCTGCTTTACTCGAGCTTAGGATAGGTTATGGGAAAATTTGAGGTCCTCACCTTTCTTAGAGTTTGGAGGTATTTCTATTGTTTTTTCATTTCATTTATTATTATTTTACTATTTTTCAAATGCGCCTAGGTTCACCTCATTAAACAATTTTAACTCAAAATGATTTATAGAAGAAAAAATGAAAGTGAAAAGGTGTTCATGTACGTGGGACATTGGATATGCTTACAGTGAATCTAGGTCATCCAACCCATATCATTCAGAAAGCCAGTTGGCTCGCAAAATCATTTTTACATACGAATACACATAATTTTTTTTATTTAGATATTACTTCTATCAAAGTCACCAATTAAATAAGGAAAATTGTTTCATGTAGGCTTCACCACATTTCTACAATATGTGGTCCCAAGGTAAAGCATCCATCTTAAAGATGGATGCAAATAGGTGGTCCATTTAAACAATCAAAACTAACGGTCCAAATGTTTTCTTAATAAAATTATTACTTTTAATTGTTGAATTTCATTTATTTTTTTTATATTCATGATCTCCATGTTAGAGATTGCATATCCTTAAAAGTTAAGTAAAAAAATCCATCTCAAAAATATATTTTTAAGAGGTGACTCATTTCTACATGCACTCGTAGAAATAGTGCCCATTAAATAATTCAACATCTTCAAATTCTATAATGTTATTAGATCTTATTCCTAAAAACCAATATACTTTATCATTTTCTCCAAATGCTACAAACAGACATCTTGTGGTTTAGAGTTCAAGCTCAAGTCTCCTTATATTTAGAATTCTGACAAATGCCTAACATCTCATATAGTAAAAAATGCTAATTGTTGTTACTTATAAAACCAAAGTTCACATCGAGTTTTTCCTAATCTCTTAAAAGGCGTTCTATTATTAAGTATAATGTTCAAAGCAGGGTTTCCCTCTTATAAAATGAACTAGAAAACCATTTCTACCAATGTTACATTCATTTTTATCAACTTGATTTTCAATGTATGCTGACTTGAATCCGCATTCGAAAAACACCTTGGGCATGGTAAATCTCTATGATGACGCAAAAATCAATTTCAACTACATATTATGATATTTGTACTTCAAAATGGTTTCGATCCTGTGGATCTATAAACATTTGAAAATTGACGATCTACATAATATGTAATCATCTATACCATTTGTAGGGTTTGAAATCCCGAAGTTTTTTTCACAAGTATAATGATCAAGATCGAGATGATCTATTTGAAAGTTTTTCAAAACCAAAATTATAATTTTTCATGAGCTTTGAGGTGAGGCTTTATTTATTTTAATAGAATTGTGGCCTATCAAAATATTTTCCTTTAGAGAAATGAGAAAATAGGATTTTAGTTCACAGTCCAGTTGTTTTAGCTACATATTTCACTACAAAATATATGAACACAGTGTGTACTCCAGCATACCAAAAATAGGCATGCCACCATGTGTTGCATGTACTTTAGGTCACGGAGAGCTGGTTCCCTCACAAAGTCACTTAAATATGTTAAAATAATTTTTTGAATATGAGCATGAGGTGCAAAGTATATATTTACTCCCTCGAGTTACTCTCGATATTTCTAGCGGTGGCAGCGGGTTGGAACCCAACCAGGTTCCACATGGACCTGGATGTGGGTCGTGTTAAGGTGGTCGGGTCCATATGACCTAAACTTGGACCCGACTTATAGGTGTTTAGTCTAGTTGGACCTAGAAACAACCCAGACTTGGATATAAAAATTTAAAAAATAAAAAATAATTTTATATTGTATGATTTAACATATTTTATTAAGAGTTAGGTTGGGTCGACACGACCACGACCAGATAAGGTAACCCGGACCGACCCGAGTTGGGTCCACCGGGGCCTGATCCCCCATGTTCAAAACGTGGACCAAGAACCGGACCTGGTTCAAGTCGATCCACCACCGACCTGACCCAATCGCCAATCCTATCCTAAACGCGTAAAAAATAGTTTTTAACTCTCTGCGACTGATACTATAAATAGTCCCGCCTATTAAACCTTCAGACTCGAAACGAAGTTTTGTTGCTCTTAAATCTTACTCTTGCCCACGCAGATGATCATTTTAAGATCTTTTTCCAGGTATTTTTTTTATCACGCAGTAATTTCAATTTTTTTTTCTGGGTCTATTTCATCTCTATAATGGAAAATCTCAGCATTTTTGGAAGATATTATTTCTCTTCCTTTCTTTTATTTTCTTTCTACTTTTTCCTTCTTCTATTTTGTGAAATTTTGAATTGGAAATTAAGGTTACCTTTGCTCCGATTGTGACTGAAAAATTCAAAAAAATTTGGTGGGTTTTTTAGTATAAGTTGAACTGTATGATCATTGATCATCTCTGTCTCTCTCTGAAGTAATTTTCCTGTATTACTTTTATGATGTTGGAAAAGGAACACCATTTTCCATTGCTTTGATGTGTTATGGCTCCTGTTTTACAAATAAAAGGTCTTCGCATATTCTGTTTGGAGTTTTTTGAGTAAATAAGCTTATGAGTCTTTTGCATTATTTCTTCCAGAGTGGAACAAGTATCAAAGGTTTCAAATGTTATTTATGAATTACCAAAGCTTGTAAGCTCATTTCAGGTATTGAAAGAAGCCTTATTTTTGTTTTTCCTTTTTTTTTTATTAATTACTTTGAAAGTAGCCTTCTTTGGTGTTATATCTTTGCTTTAATGCAGATAGTCAAACTTTCAACTGCATAGATAATTGGGAAAAGGAAAATTTATCAAAATGCACCGAGATGAACTATTTAGCAGTTTCCGGTCTTTAATTTAATTTTGAAAAGTCCATCAAAATGCACATGATCATGAGTTGGAATAGCTGAGAAAAGGGGTAAAATGTCCAATAATCGAAAAAGTAGGTGCATTTAGATAAATTTCCCTTGGGAAATTAATCTTATGGTGCATAAAATTCGCATGTGTCTTTGGCATGCATTACACTATAGATAATTGCCATTCTTCTTTTTACGTTTACATAACCAGATTATGTCATCCATTTCAGGGTTTTTGCCATTGTAATTAGTTTGAAGAAAGGAATGGCGTTGTAGATATAAAAATTTGCTTTTTAATTATGCTTTCTATTGTTGTTTTTCTCTTCATTTTACTGTATATGTATATGCTAGGGTTCCAATTACTATGACAAAGTTTGTTTGAGGAAAATGGGGGATATGAAGGATGTAGTGAATGCAATGGATCAGAGCAAGAAGAGGAGAGCTGTGACAACAGTTTGGATGCCGCTCAGTGCTCACTTGAGTTCTTCGGAAGGTTGGTTTCTTTCTATTCTCTACTATGGTTATGTGTTCAGGGAGAATTTTGAATGAGAAATGAGAAAACTTGGAAGATATTTCGCATTTATTGAGTGTTGTCATTTGAATGCGGCATTTACTATGCATGGCGTCTTTTTTTTTTTTCCCCTTTTTCTCTTTTATTTTATTTTATTTTAATGTTTTTATCATTATTATGGAAACAAAATCAATTGTCAGGTTTTCATCATTGTCTGGGTTCTTTCTAGAATCCATTTTGGTTTACAAGTTCTTCTATTTTGTGATGATGTGAAGTTTTTCTTTTTCCTTTTTATTAATGTACTATTATTGCTTATTTAATAAGTAACCCAAGAGATACCTATAATTACAGAATCTCCATGGGTACTCCTAACAATGAATCCCCATCTGGAGACCTATATGGAGCAAGAACATCTATGTATACATACTAAAGCTCTGTATCCAATGAACAGATGTTCTCTAGAATCCCTTTACGCTTGTCAGCTCTACATCTCATCTTTCTGATCTCTTGTTCTCCTATGGGTGCTATGGACAGAGCATCCTCTATTTATTTTTGTGCACTCTCTTCAATTCCCAATCCCTTTATTCAATTACAACTCTCTTTCTCTTATAATAATAGTTGTCTGTATTTAGCTGACCCCAAATAGTTGGGTTAAGGCTCGGATGATGATGATGATGATGATCTTACTCTAGAAATTCTATTATTACTCTGTCTCTATGGCCCAAAAGATAGCTAGAGGAATTATCGCTTGCGTAGAGTGGCCAAAATCCCTAGAAAAAATACAGCCCGTATAGACTCTAGTAGTGCCCCTGGACCATAGAGACCTAAAATATGAACCTAAAAACCCTGTTGCATAAATGTAGTGGATACTTAAGTTGGTGGTTTTGTTGCCCATTGTCTTACTTTCTAAATTCATTGATCCTAAGCTCTGGTGACTAGTGTAGTAGCTGTGCCAATTGAAGAGCAGACTATGATCCCAATGAAAGCTGCATTTTAGAACTGTTACTTTTTGAGTTGATGTTTTAATCTTCCCATAATCTCAATGATACACTACTTTCTTGCTTAGAAAAATTTACTTAGAAAAAATTGGTACAGATATAATGAACCTTTGTCTATTAAAAATTGACATGTGGTGCTTTTAGAGCTTATTCTTTGCCATCTTTTCATTGCGATCTATCTACCGTTTTAAATGAGCAGTGGAGTACATGGCTTCAGTTTCCTGGCCTTAGTACACCAATGAATTAAGCTTTCCATGTTTATCTTTTTTTTTTTTGGGTGATGCAGGTGGCCTTGTTAATGATGCAAAGTTCTACAGTGGAGGCCCAGTTGAAACAGTAGTTCCAGTCAAATCAGTAGTTCCAGTTGAAACACTAGTTCCAGTTGAAACAGTAGATCAAAATTTGGAATCGAGTGCTAGAGAAACAGTTGATAGTAACATTTATATTTCTGTATCTGAGAGTCAACATTCCAATCAGGGCACTAAATCTTATAACAAGGTTGGTGGCTCAGCTGATTTGAGCTCTAAACCCCTCAATTTTGATGATCAGAATGCATGCTTAGAAGAAAAATATTTAGCTATATCTGTAAATGTTCAGGGGAGCAATTTATGTTCCAACTACCTAGAGGACGATCTGGACATCGTGGGGTCAGTTCAGTCAATTACTGAGGCTTCAAAGCAGTCAGTTCCTGTTGAGGTAATAATGTGGAGCTTCAATGGTGCCTGTTGTTTGTTTGATTTTGGAGATGCAGTCATCCCCTCAATAGTTGTGCCATACTCTCCTTTATTCTGGTTGCTTTGGTAGGTAATCCAATGGACTGTGGAAGAATCATAGTCCATTGAGTCATGACCATCCATTGAACTGATGGATGCTGAAGGAGATCTCTAGAAGGTGGTTTTCCATTTAATCTTTGTTCTTTCTTGTTGCTTAGTGTATCTTGATTCATGACGTCTGCTTTTTTTTTTTTTACAAGTAATGGATTAATGGTAAATATTGCTTCATTAATATCTATAGGTCAAAGCATTTTCAAGAACCTGGTTTTCATTTGAAAGGCTATAACACATGAAATCCTAACATTTTTGTCATGCATAGCATGTATTTGCTTACTTTTAGTACCAGGGGCATGCTTAGTGGAATAGTGAAATTTGATTGACGTTAAGCAGCGTGTACAAAGTAGATGCTGGTCCTATTGATCCTTGAGGTATAGATGTTTTTTTTTTAAGCGATTAACAGTGTTTTTGTAAATGATCTCTTAAGCCATATAATGGGCTGCTTTAATTTATTCCATCATTTGTGGAAACAAAGTAGACATCTTTAGGAAACTATTGGCCACATTTATGTTACACATAAGCTATTTTTGAATTTGTTTCTTTTAAAGGGACCATTAATGGTGTATTAATTATTATCCTTGGATTTAATATTTATTAGTTTTAGGTGAATCCTCTCTCGGTTTGCATTCTTAAAGTTGTTTGATGCGACGGTTTGATTAGTGCAGCTTGAGATAACAACTACTTATCTCTAGTATCATAATCTAGATATGGGAGGTCTTTGAGTTTTGCAGTATGTGCTCATGAGAAGCATGTTTCAATAGCCGTTGATTAATCATCATGGTTGGTGTTTGAGTATTAGAACATAAAGTATCAAATTTGAAATCTTACACATTGATTTCCAAATTAATGATGGGTGTAGAACTTGTGAGTTATGGCTTAAAGAGCATAGAACTTATGAATTAAGGAGCCAATCAGTAGCTACGAGGTCCTTAAGCTACTTCCGACTTTTTTTCATCCACTAAGATGTAACCGAGGTGTATGGTTTTTTGTGGGTAATGCTGGTATGGATGCTTTTGTCGTCTGAAAGCACATAATTATGAGTCTTGATTGATCCCTTGCAAGTCCTGCATAAACCAGCAATATAGAAAGAATCTTCTCTCTATGGAACTCAAATAACACCTGGAATAACAGAAAATATCAGCAAATGGAGGAGAAATAACTTCAACAAGGGATGAATGAGAGGCCAAAAGCTAAAACAAAATATTTTTTCAAAATAGAGAAAGCTGTCAATAGCTATGAGGGAGCTCATTACGGCTCAAACCTCTCTATAAATGTTTCATATTCTGTCAAAAAACTCTTGACTAAATTTGTGCTTCAAAAAAACCTTGATCTGAGCTCCTTAACTTTTCTATTTTTAGAGATTTTGGGAACTGGGTGCAAGCAATTTTTGTAATTGGGAGCATGCATGAGAGAGGGCTGTGTTCTTTATGTTAAGCTAAACAAAGTTATTGAGCTTAAATAGGTTAGTGTCTTTTGCATAGACGACCCCAAATAGTTGGGATAAGGCTCAGATAATGATGATTGATTTGAGTCTTTTAAGGGCTGTTTTGTGTCCATTTATAATATTGTTTAGTGAAATCTTATCTTGATTTGATATGTTCATTTATATTCCTTCTGAACAATGGTTTCTGTCTATTTTTTTCGTTTGTATAGATATAGCAGTCTTAAATATCATGTATCACATTATTGATCCACATATGCAGGTTGACACGCCTTTGATACGCTTCATTAAAGGAAAAGGGTATGGCTGTGAATGATCATGCACTACCTTTTGTTTGTTTCTAACTGCATATATCCTCTCAATTGTACAAAAGTTTGATCTGAGATTTCTTATTATTAGAATATGCTGGTACTAGCATAAATTCTCTACAGTGGCTGATTTTTTGAACATTCCCCCTCAGGGGAAATACACAAAAGCAAATTGAGATGGAGACTGGAGTAAAAATCAAATTTCCATTGTCAAAGGAGGAGACATCAATTGGTAGCCATCTCCACAGTTTTTTGTTTATTTTTCTGTTTAATTTTGGTTTTCACTATTTAACGAGAGTCAGCTCTAGTGATTAGTTTACATTTGGATTTGGAATTTATTTTATTTGCTTTGTGTGTAACTACACACATGGTATATTTTCATTTATATCCTGTTAGGACTAAGGCATTCACTCAACATCGCCTTTACAACGTTTGGCTCTTTGTTAAATCCTTGAGTCATATATCTGATCAATATATCTTTGGATTTCTATCCTAATGCTTTTGTTTTTTTTGGTAAGAATCCTAATACTGTATGTAAAGTATGTAAAGTAGTGTATATATAGTAGCGTTATATGCGTAAGATATTCCTTCTTGGTGCATAAGATATTCCTTCTTGGTGCGTAAGAACACCATCAAGTGTGTTCTTTGACATGAAATTTTCAACATGGCATCTATACGTATTTCTAGAGAAGAGCCCGTCCTTCATTTATGGTTTACACCAGTGTTTTAAAAAACGGCAAGTCGAACCGGACTCGCTCGGTTCGACTCGAAAATACGCGTGCCCGTGCCGGTTCCAACCGAAAACCGAGACGCTCGGTTCTAGAGTGGAACCGCTGGTTCCCATCCGGTTCAGCCCGGTTCTAGAGTGGAACCGCCGGTTCCCATCCGGTTCAGCCCGGTTCTAGAGTGGAACTGTCGATTCCCATCCGGTTCAGCCCGGTTCTAGAGTGGAACTACCGGTTTCCATCCTGTTCAACCCGGTTCACACACGTAACACATGACACGTACGTGCGAGCGTGCCCCACACACGCGCACACGTGTGTTCTAGCACACGTGCGAGCGTGCCCCACACACACTCACACATGTGTTCGAGCACACGTGCGAGCGTGCCCCACGCACACTCACACACGTAACACATGACACGCACTTGCGAGCGTGCCTCACGCACACTCACACACGTAACACATGACACGCACGTGCGAGCGTGCCCCCTCACATACTCACACGTGCACACGTGTGTCAGAGCGCACGTGCGAGCATGCCCCACGCACACTCACACGCGCACACGTGTATCTGAGCGCACGTGCGAGCATGCCCCTCGTACTCACACGCGCACACGTGTGTCCGAGCGCATGTGCCAGCGTGCCGCACGCACACTCACACGCGCACACGTGTGTCTGAGCGCATGTGCGAGCGTGCCGCACGCACACTCACACGCGTACACGTGTGTCCAAACGCACATGCGAGGTTGCCCTAATATTTTTATACACATTTTATAATTCATATTGCATAGGTATTTATATACCAAATTCGAAT